AATAAAGCACTCCTTAAAACATGTGCCTTAAAATTTGAATCCACCTTTTTATCATATATTAAATATGCCTGCCAACCAAATAACAAATCCCATCCTTCAAGAGAAAGTATATTCTTATTTGTTAAGTTTAACCAATCACTAATCCATGTCAATACCACAGCATCATAATACAATTTTAAGTTAGGAGCTTTAAGTCCTCGTTCCCTTACATCTTGCATAATCTTAAACTTAAGTTTAAGTTTAAAGTTGGCCTTTTTATGACTTGTGTACTTCAACTCCCAGAATTCCTCAGCAAGTATGCCTGGCTGAGGAATTCTGGGGGTTGAAGTCCACAAGTCATAAAAGGGCCAAGTTTGAAGATCCCTGATCTACAACAAGGGTGAGGAACGATGATCCTTTTAGGACTGGTGGACTTCAACTCCCAGAATTTCTGAACCAGACAGTGTTGTGACAATTACTGTGTCACCATCCAATAAAACTCCAGGTTCACTCCATTCCCCAAAATCTTACTGTTTATTGAATACACTGCATGGTTCTGTGGAAGCAAAACTAACTCTGGGGTTTGAACATCAATTCATAAACTTAAACAATAATTTTCCCAGCCAAAACCCCAACGTCTTACATGATTCATATCAACAACATCTCCCCGCCCCTCTCCTTAATCTAAAGACAAGATGAAACACAGAGGCATGTAGCTGCCAAAGTTTCACTCTTGACAATTTGTTTACAGTGGTGAGACTCAAATATGTGAGCAACCGGTTCTCTGTGTGGATGCCGCTTCCAGAAGTCCATTCTGGGCCTGGGCAACAAAAAATTAGCTACCGGTTCTGCCGAACTGGTGCCAACTGGCTGAATCCCACCACTGGCTGTTTAACAGAGTAATAGCATGGGGGGGGACTTTGGGTCTGGCTGTTTTAGCATGCATACAAAACCAATCTAATCTAATTTATGTTTTTGATAGAGGCCAATTTAGTTGTCTATGTTCTGTCCCAGCCTATGTGAGTCCTTGTTATGCTCACAAGGAGAAACCCCTCTTCCAAGAAACAGGCAGGAACCGCAAGAAAAAAACAACCCCTTTTATTCTCACAGACCTGAGTCAATGTCCAAGGCAAACAAACACAGTCCACAGAAACTCGATCTTCAACACGAACGGTTGCCTTCGGCAACCATCACCTCCCACACCTTCCCTTTTATAATTCAGCCAAGGCATGGCTTCCTAATGCCTTCTCCTTTGCCTTTGGAGCTGCCCCATTGCATTCTTCTGCCTTATTCACTTCTCTTACCTGCGCTTTCGTGCATCCTGGATTTGTCCCAACTGTTCTTCATCACTGCCCAACTCAGGCTCCCAGCACAGCTGTGTCTCAGCCTGAGCGCGAGTAGAGCGGCCAGGCTCCTCGTCCGACTGTAAGTCTTGGAGCTCCTCATTGCCTTCCTCTGACTCTAATATCACTCCAGGCCCCTCCTCCTCATCTGATTCCTCAGACTCAGCTGCCAGATCCACTGGCTGGTGAGGAATCACAAAATTCTAGAGGATGTGGTAGATGCGGTATCCTTGACTCCAGCAAAATGCTCTACAGAGTTCTCATGAGATTCTGTCCCAGCCTATGTGAGTCCTTGTTATGCTCACAAGGAGAAACCCCTCTTCCAAGAAACAGGCAGGAACCGCAAGAAAAAACAACCCCTTTTATTCTCACAGACCTGAGTCAATGTCCAAGGCAAACAAACACAGTCCACAGAAACTCAATCTTCAACACAAACGGTTGCCTTCGGCAACCATCACCTCCCACACCTTCCCTTTTATAATTCAGCCAAGGCATGGCTTCCTAATGCCTTCTCCTTTGCCTTTGGAGCTGCCCCATTGCATTCCTCTGTCCTACTCACTTCTCTTACCTGCGCTTTCGAGCATCCTGGATTTGTCCCAGTTGTTCTTCATCACTGCTCAACTCAGGCTCCCAGCACAGCTGTGTCTCAGCCTGAGCACGAGTAGAGGGGCCAGGCTACTCGTCCGACTGTAAGTCTTGGAGCTCCTCAGAGCCTTCCTCTGACTCTAATATCACTCCAGGACCCTCCTCCTCCTCCTCTGATTCCTCAGACTCAGTTGCCGGATCCACTGGCCAGTGAGGAATCACAAAATTCTAGAGGATGTGGTAGATGCGGTGTCCTTGACTCCAGCAAAATGCTCTACAGAGTTCTCATGAGATTCTAGTAAACTATTAGATGGCTACAGGGTCTGTTGAACAATCACACCCAGTGAGTGTGGCCGTGCCTCAAGCTGGAAGGAAACGTTGAGCAGCACACCACAGATCTCAGCTGAAAGACAGGTTCAATATATATTTAAATGAGATTGAAAAGAGATTAGAAAATGCAATGATCAGTTTTGCAAATGGCACACAGTAGCAAGCAAGAGCCTGGGAAGAATGGCATCAAAATGAATAATAATAAATAAACAAACACTTGTCCTATTTTCAGATAGGAAACATCAAAGGTATAATCAAAAATAGGAAGGCTATACTTGATAGTGGTGTATATAAAAACTCTGACTATCTTGGTGGACCACAAACTGATCATTAACCAAAACTGTGATGCAGCTGCAACTATTGAATCTCAGTTGCATCAATGGAAATATGGAGTTAAGATCAAGATAAACCAGTTATTCTCTAGTCTGACCTGATCAGGCAACACTAAGAATACAGGTAGTCCTTGACTTACAACAGTTCATTTAGTGACCATTCAAAGTTATAACGGCACTGAAAAACTGACATGATCATTTTTCACACTTACGACAGTTGCAGCATTCCCAACGGTCACATGATCAAAATTCAGATGTTTGGCAACTGACTCGTATTTATGACGGTTGCAGCATCCCCGGGGTCATGTGATCCCTTTTTGCGACCTTCTGACAAGCAAAGTCAACGAGGAAGCCAGATTCACTTAACATCCGTGTTTCTAACTTAACACCTGCAGTGATTCACTTAACAACTGTGGCAAGAAAGGTTGTAAAATGGGGCAAAACTCACTTAACAAATGTCTCACTTAGTAACAGAAATTTGGGGCTCAGTTGTGGTCATAAGTTGAGGACTACCTTTATTGCATTGGGCTCCCTGTAGTGCAATGAAGAAGGATATTGACCAACTGGAATGTGTCCGGAAGTAACACATGATGAGATGAGATGAGATGAGAAGGGGCCAGGAAAGTAAAATCTTATAAGAAATATGAGTGGGTGTGCGTTCAAGTTCCACCTGAGCTATGAAAGCCAGCAGGGTGACTTGGACCAGTCTCTCTCTCTCTTAGCCCAATCCACCTTACAGGGGTGTTGTAATGGGGCAAATAGGAGAAGGGATGTGTGTTGGATATGCTTGCTGCCTTGAATTATTTGTAAAAATAATAACAAAAGCGGGATACAAATAAAATAAAATGGTCAGAGGTGTAGGAATAGTGAGGGATCTGTTTCAGCATCTGAAACAGAAAAAAAGGCAGAAATATCAGAATTGTTTCTAAAGATGAGATAAGGAACAACCAATTTAAAGTTAATTTCTAAGCATTTCCAATCCTTACATCTCATGATTTCATTTAAACCAAGTTTCGTTTCTTCTCCTACCATCTCTTTCGGGTTGTTGTTTTTTCACCCACCTGGCTGAAAGAAAAGCTACTTCCTTGTTTTTTTTAAAAAAATATCTAGCAAATAGTTTTGTAGGGTAATTCCCTTTCAGTTTTAAAACACAAAAGCAAAAGTCAGCCAGTGGGCAGAGTTTACTACCTCTAGGCAACGAGAGTCGAAAAGAAGGAGAAAAGAAGAAGGGGAAAAAAGGTTTGAATTCTTGCTTTGCTTTAAATCTTTCTGCCTTTTATATTTATTCGCTTTTGCATTTATTCTGAACTGATAAAGTTTTCCAAGTTTTTATCTCCCTGGATCTAATCTGGTTGTTGAAAGACCCCTTTGTGACATTCTGTATTACATTACAGAATGTGAGTCCTCATTTTTTTTTAAATTTGGGGGGCAATAAAAGTGGATGCCTAAAGTAACACAGATATAAAGATGATCATTTTTGCAGAGGAAAGCTAGGAAGTGACTAGGATAAATGGTTTCATTTCTAATTCCCCCCCTTACATATTCCCAGTGCCTAAGTTTTGAAATGCTTCTTTTTATTTATTGAATATTTATGCTGTCTATTTAAATATCTATACTGTATTGAAAGGGGAGAAACAAGAAGAAAACCCAGTTTGTCTATGGCCATATTGCTGCTTGCAATATAGCTGGTAAGACACTCTGTAGATACTAAACATACGAAGAACGGCTGGTTCTTCGTATGTTGGCTAGTCTAAAGGAAAGAAGAACTAGGGGTGACATGATGGCAGTATTCAAGTATTTGAGGGGCTGCCACAAAGAAGAGGGGGTCCAATTATTCTCCAAAGCGCCAGAAGGCAGGGCAAGAAACAATGGTTGGAAACTGATCAAAGAGAGAAGCAGCCTGGAATTAAGGAGAAACTTCCTGACAGTGAGGACAATTAACCAGTGGAACAGCTTGCCTTCAGAAATCGTGGGCGCTCCATCACTGGAGATTTTTAAGAAGAGACTGGACAGTCACTTGTCTGAAATGATATAAGTTCTCCTGCTTGAGCAGGGGGCTGGACTAGAAGATCTCCAAGGTCCCTTCCAGCTCCATTCTATTCTAAATGATGCTTCCCTCCCTTACAGTTGTCCCTGTAAGACTACTTGTTAATAGCCCAGCATGATAGGCTATCAAAAACCTGATAACTAAAAAAAAGGGGGGGGGGATTTTGGATTTTACTGTTTAGATTCATTTGTTGTTATAGAAATGGCTAGTTTATAATATTATGGAAAAGTAAAAAGTTGAGATTCAATGTTAATGCTTCCTTCTATCAGCTATAGGAAAGAGCATTGGCCGCTGAATTTGCTTTTAGAAAGTGAGATAAGCCAATGGTTTGCCAGCAACCGCCCAGTTTCAAGATCAGAAAGCACAGGGACTAGAACAGGGGTCTTCAAACTGGGCCCTTTTATGACTTGTGGACTTCAACTCCCAGAATTCCTCAGCCAAGCTGAGGAATTCTGGGAGTTGAAGTCCACAAGTCATAAAAGGGCCCAATTTGAAGACCCCCGGACTAGAAGGAAGGGAGGAAGAAGCAATTTGCTGAGTGCAGAGGGACCACTCTTTCAAAATACTTACCTGGCAGGGGAGATACCTTGATCACGAAGGAGGTTTTCCCAAGGTGAGGCTCATCCATTGCACTCCGGGTGTGCTGACCCCTGTGATTTCCCCAAACGCCGGAAACTCGACTGCATAATTTGTGGTAGTGGAGGATTGCGTTCGCGCTTTCCCCTGAAAAAGAATAGAATCAAGATCACGTGAAGTATTAATACCACTTTACAATGCCTTGGTAAGGCCACACTTGGAATACTGCATCCAGTTTTAGTCACCACGATGTAAAAAAGATGTTGAGACTCTAGAAAGAGTACAGAGAAGAGCAACAAAGATGATTAGGGGACTGGAGGCTAAAGCATATAAGGAACGGTTGCTGGAATTAGGTATATCTAGTTTAAGGAAGAGAAGGACAAGAGGGGACATGATAGCAGTGTTCCAATATCTCAGGGGCTGCCCCATAGAAGAGGGAGTCAAACTATTCTCCAAAGCACAGTCACTCAAGCCCTCGTTGTTTCCCGCCTGGACTATTGCAATGCTCTCTTGAGGTGCACCCGGAGGCTCCAGCTAGTTCAGAATGCGACTGCGCGGGGGATTTTGGGGGCCTCTAGATGCTCCCATGTAACACCTCTCCTGCGCGAGCTGCACTGGCTGCCGGTGGCCTTCCGGGTGCGCTTCAAGGTGTTAGTAACAACTTTTAAAGCGCTCCATGGCAATGGACCTAGGTATTTGCAAGACCGCCTCCTACCAAACACCTCCCTTCAACCAGTCCGCTCCCACAGAGAGGGCCTCCTTAGAGTGCCGTCGGCCAGACAATGCCGGCTGGCGACCCCCAGGGGGAGAGCCTTCTCTGTGGCAGCTCCTGCCCTCTGGAATGACCTACCCCCCGACCTACGTACAGTTGCAGACCTGCGCCTTTTTTGCCGAGCCCTGAAGGCCCATCTATTCCGTGCGGCCGGCCTGACGTAGTTTGATTATGTTTCAGTGGGGGTTTTTGTATGGGTGTGTTTTTAGAACAGGCCTGTTATTTAATTCGATTTTAGAACAGAAACTATTTATTTATTATCGTGGTTTTTAGTATCGCCTGTTCACCGCCCTGAGTCCCGTAAGGGAGATAGGGCGGTATATAAATTTAATAAATAAATAAATAAATAAAAAGCGCCTGAAGGCAGGACAAGAAGCAACGGATGGAAACTAATCAAGGAGAGAAGCAACCTAGAACTAAGGAGAAACTTCCTGACAGTTAGAACAATTAACCAGTGGAACAACCTGCCTCCAGAAGCGGTGAATGCTCCAACACTGGAAGTTTTTAACAAGAGACTGCACAGCCATTTGTCTGAAATGGTATAGGGTTTCCTATACCATGGACTAGATGACCTCCAAGATCCCTTCCAACATTATTGTTGTTGTTGTTGTTGTTGTTGTTGTTGTTGTTGTTGTTGTTATTATTATTATTATTATTATTATTATTATTATTATTATTATTATTATTATTATTATTATATGACAGAGGACAATTGGACATTCAGTATGGCTCTGTCCCAGTTTGAAACAAAGATTCTCACAATACCAATTTGTGTATCTGAAAGATTTCATCCAAGAATCGAGTCCAGCAAACAGATTCCATTCTATGGAGTTGGGACTGAGACCATGTTCTACCAAGCCTGTTAATTAATCTCTTCTCTTTTGGGTTCTCTTCTTTCTTTTTCTTAGAATATTGCCCACAATGAATGTTCAGCCAACGGTTATCACTCAGCCACAGACGGTGGTGGTGGTCCAGCCCCAAGCAAACCATTGGCAAACGGACTTATGTGACTGCTGTAGCGACTGTGACATTTGTAAGTGACCAGGCCAATAATTGAAAGTGGGATTCTCAAAGCCTTCTTAGGAACTTGGAAAGATTGGGCTGGATATTTTTCCAGACTGGATAGGTTGCAGAAATAAATTATTCGTTATAATCTGAGCAATGGATGTTTCATTGTTGAACAGCCCACTGGATTGGAATTAGGATGGCAAGGGATAAAAGGAGACACCGCTTCTCTTCTATTACAAATTGTGTAGAAGATGGAACTTAAACTTTCTACATGTAGGAAATGACAGGCTGAGCCCGAGGGTGGAGTCAGATGTATCACCAGTTTGGAATCACTATGCTCCCACAAGAAATCTAAATCCAGCCCCCCATGAATTCCATTGACTCTTATTTAGCACCAATCTGCCTTGACCATTAGTAGATCAGATTCTTGTGTATAGCATGAAATAAACTCATAGTACTTTTGAACTCTATCGTGGCACCTGGTTTCTTGCACCTGATGCAAGAATTGGATAACGAAATATCTGCAAGAAAAAAACCAAGCTCAGAAACCACCAGGGACACAACAGTTCAAATGTGAGTTACAAGTATTGTCTTCTATTGGTAATTGTCAGACACAATCAGATCCACGTGCAAAGAGTTCAATTAACTATTTCATTACTCAAGCCTATAACATAGGACTCTTCTCAGATTGGTGGTTTGCACCTGGGTCAGACTAGATAAAGTTAAACAGCATTCAAGGGAGGTCAGACTTCACCCTCTTATGCCCACATAGGGATTCCAGACTAGTTCCCTGTTTGATTCCTCTCCCTGGCTCAGCCAGTCTCTCTTCAACAGTAATTTTCTTAATTCTATTTCATAATAGTTGGGAACATCAGCATACAGAAAAATGCAATGGGGTGTTATTTTAATTTAATGTGGCTTGTACATTAGCTTTTTCAGTCCTCCCCTCTCCTCTCCTAGACAATGTTTTAACTAGCATTTGCAATTGCAGTTTTAATGTTCCAGCAATAGCATCATTTGCATTTTCTGGATGATAAATCTTATGTCATTCAACGCTTTGCCAAAATCGTTTTTACAAAGGCCTTTCCTTCCTCCCTTTAGGTCTCTGTGGAATGTTCTGCTTCCCTTGTTTGGCATGCCAAGTTGCTGCAGCTATGAATGAATGTTGTTTGTGCGGAGCATCTGTGGCCATGCGGGCTGTGTACAGGACAAAATACAATATCCCTGTAAGTAGATTATGGCTGGCTGTGGAATTCTGGGAGTTGAAGTCCACAAGTCTTAAAGTTGCCAAGTTTGAAGAGCCCTGGATTAGACAAACTTCGGGTTTCTGCACTCTAGTTCAAACCAAAAAAAATCAAACTAGAATCTTGAGAAGTACTCGTGAAATTGGAGAGAAATACCAGCTCAGAAACGCAACGGGACAACTCCTTGCTGCCCACTCGCTGCGGGATAACTTGTCATGCCCAACTCACCATGGGACAACTTGCCATGGGAAATTATTTAAAATAATATTTTAATTTTTGTTATTCACATTTCATTTTGTCCCTCGTTCAGCATCCTTTCCAGTGTCATTCTGGTCCCGTGGCAAGTGGTCCCATGGCAGGTTGGCCGTCGCGCGTTGTCCCACAATGAATTGGCCACAGTGAATTGGCTGTGGTGACCTGCCCTAGACCCACTCAGAAAGGCAGTGCATTCACAACCCAGAAATTGATGGGGGGGGGGAACTGACCTGGGAAATGAACAGATAATTCTTTCATTTGTTATCTGCAGTACATCATAATCTTTCAGAATTATAGGAATAAAAATAAAAATGACACTTGTTGCACGCCAAACATAACTATCACATCTACCTGGCCCACAAGAATGGGAAGGCAGAATATGTTACAAGTCCCATCGAATAGGGATTGTCATCTGTGGATCATGAAAAAAAGACCTTCTTGGTGGTAGCCCCTCTGTGCCCCCCCCCACCCTGCTATTTTTCTGAAAGGCCCTAAAAACATGTTTTGTCAGTGGGCCCGAGGACCATAAGTAGAAATGGAGCTGATTATGTGGTTAATTTGATTGTGTTGCTGCTGCCACTGGCACTGGGCGAAGTGGATTTTTTAAAATAGGTTTTTCTAATGTAATGGATTTCTGTTGTTAAGTGAGATGTTTGTTAAGTGTGTTTTGCCCCATTTTACAATCTTAAATCACATTTTTCAGTGCCATTGTAACTTTGGACAGTCACCAAACGAACTGCTGTAAGTCAAGGACTACCTGTATTTTGCCATCCAACCTAGAGCTAGCTTCTCGTAATTCCATATCTCTACATCATGATTTTATTGAAAAAGTTATTGATTCGTTTGGTTTCTTTTCAACAGGGATCCATCTATGATGATGCCTGCATTGTGGGGTGTTTCCCTACTTGTTCTCTCTGCCAACTCCAGAGAGATATCAGAAGAAGGAAACAAATGGGGATATTCTAGAAGACTCCACCCTAAGCTCCTTTGGACCTTTACATTTGTCCTTTTTTAAATTAGAATTCTGAGAAGTAAGAAATAAGTAAAGTAGTTTGTAGGGAGAACCATTATTTAGAGGCACCCTTGCTTTATAATTCTAAGCATATTCTTAACCCAGAAATTAAATTTTAGTACTGATTCAGAGCTCAAAATCCAAGCACACAAACCTGCTGTTGTTTGTCCTGTCCTTGATCTTTGCTTGATCTCCCAATTTCAGTTACAATGGAAAACAAAACATTTTTGGTTGCTGCTGCTCTTAAACAATAAGGATTTTTTTTTTTAAAAAAAAAAGCCCTGCTAGACCTTTGAAGATTTATCGGGGGATCTACCATTCTGCCTTTCCCATTTTAGGGCTACTGGTAATTTTGGTTTGCAAGATGTAGTAACTGGAGAGATCAAGGTAAAATTGCAATCTAGAGCCATTGGCATAACTAGCCTACCTGGAAGTGCTTGCTGTCCAGATGTGGGGGGCTAGAACTGTCATGATTCCCAGCCATCACTGCTTTGATTTCTTTTTTAGTTTTTTTTTTAGTTTTTATTTTTCCTTTTTTCCACTATACAACAAAAATAAAACTGAAAAAATACATTTTCCCTTAACAAAACTCATATATATTATTTACAATTTATTTACATCAGTAATCATGTCTTTTTCTTTCTTTGTTCTAGCCAATCATAACATTTGTTCCATATTTCATAAAATTCTGTTGCCTCCTTGTCTTTTAATTCTAGCGTAAGTTTATTCATTTCCGTGCATTCAAGAATTTTGTATATAATCATATCGTTTGTAGGTATGTTTTCACCCTTCCAACACTGAGCGTATACTCACAGCTTTGATTTAAAGGAGATATAAAACAACATATGTGGAGAGCACC